TGGATGTCTTGGCGCAAATCACCACCTTGTAAGGCGTGAATTTCGCCAAATCACGTAGCACCGTTTTATGTGCATCTACATCAAATGTCTTGATTTCCCAGGTCAGTGGTATTTCGTCATTTTTTGCGTATCTAACCTCGTATCCCAACAGTATGCCATGCACGTGTGCTTGGCTGATTGGCTTCCAGGACACTCCAATTGTACTTGAACTCGTGGGTTTGATAATGGTGCTTGGTGGCGACTCACTCGGAACTTATGATAGCAAAAAAGAAAAATATCTTATGGCTAAGTGAATGACAGATTGGTGTGGTTGAAATACTCTTAGTCACTTAGTGCTGCAGAAACTGGGATAAGCTCCGTTACTTGGCCTGAGGCAAACTTTACCTTAACAATGCCGTTATAGTCATTTTAATCATCATCATCGTCATCATCATCATCAATCATCAATCTTCAGCATCATCATCATCGTTAACCTCAACTTTGGTCATCCTGTTTGCGATTTTTCACTATCCTCATTGTCGTCGTTATCATCATAGTCAGCGTCATCAATATAATGTCGTTACCATAACCACCCATCATCATCATCATCAAGAACAACGCCGTTTTTATATTAATCATCCTCACCATATCCCAGATATCCTATTTACTGCCTAATCATACAGAGAGCCACTTCTTGTTGTAAAACGAAGACCGTTGTCTTGTCAAATTAGGCAAGGGAGTCCAATTAATGGAAGTTCATTTGACCTCGAGTTAAAATCTGCTTACTGACCTCACATATACGTGTATATCATGATCCTAGCTATTTTGTAGCTAAGACTAAGCCACGTGTAGACTGCTGCAGACTTACCGTCTTCCTGAGTTCTCAAAGATATTGCATCACTTGGCACTCCGTTTCCATTTGTTGTAAAAGCATACACACGTATGGTATAGTTTGTAAACTTTTTCAAATCTTCCAATATTGCTTCCCGAGGCGTAGGAGCCACTGACTTCATTGCACTGACATGAAACTTCTTGTCCATTTCCTTGTACACGACAACATAGCCAAGAAGTGGAGCTGAATTTAGTTGTTTAACCTCTGACCATTTAAGTCTGATAGCCGTTGAAGTGGTACTGTTTGATTCCAGAATAACTGGAGATTCATTTGGAACTGCAAGAAAATAATAGAACCTTTTTTAGCGTTGATTGTGAGCTTTAATATGAATTACTCAGACGGTTCTCTCGTGGAGGAGTAGACCCGCTTTTTACGGTACTACCGTTTTGAGACAAAATATCTGTAATTCTATTAGATGAATTGTACGGTTTAGCTTAATTCTTAAACGCTTTCATTTCTGTAACGGTAATTTAATTCACCTGATACATTTTTATCATAGGAACTTCTAACCGTGTGAGGCGATCTACATGCCGTGATTGCAAGGGTGGCGTAATGCATTTTAGAGAATTGTATATTTATGATACGATATTTATTTTAATTACCATAATTGCTTGTGATGTTGAGTAATTCCGCTGATGAATTACCCAGCATTCCTCCAGCAAGTTCTTCTTGCAAGATGACAATCTGCAGCGAATCAATGGACGAGTAGCTGACGTTGAAACTAGCGATGACGCTTCCATTCCTTAATAAAGAAAAACAAAATATTTGTTACTGGGTTCCCAGTGTCCGAAATGAAATGGTGGGTAATTAGAGGAATCCTGCTAATTAATATGTATTTATCACTAGGGCCTCTCAAAATACCAGAAACTTTGATGAATGGACCACCCTTTATCGTCACCCACAGGGAAACGTGCATTTTTGACTAACGCATCAGTTATCGGTACGATTTCTCAACAGTTAGCAGATTTGCGAATTTTTTTACTCGATCAGACATTGAAAATAATGTTACAAGCCAGAAGAGAACACTGAGGTCTAAGCTCAAGGATGATGTGCCTTTCGGTACAACAATAAGTGGCATAACGGCGTATTACCCGATTATGAGAGGACGAAGAAAAGGAAGGAAACGTATCTCATATTGTCACTGTACTATGCATGCTTTGAGGATCTATATCTTCCATACGATGTCCCATGTTCCGCGTGGTGCAGTGAGTTAATCATAAAGAGCTTCTTTATTCTGAAGATACCCATTTATAGATCTTGACGCCAGAGGAACTGTAAGGGCCTTGTCCAAGAACACAGCAAAGTAATCCCATCCAGAGCCTGGACCCGGACAGTGAATGGGCTCTAACCAGTAAGCAACCGTACCACCCGAGCAGTATTATTTTTCGAATTCTGTGTTAATTCGGTGGCATGCAAATACTTCAGTCACTTCTATATAAACGTTATGAAACTGTAAAGTTGCTGAAGAGGGAAAGAAAATTACCTGAAATCCAAGACTTTCACAGTCACGTCTTCTCCTTTTCTTTTGTAAAAATTCACTATCTAAAGTTTTTGATAAAGAAAAAATAATATAAATCAGCTGATTATGCTTGATTGAATTACTCAAAGGCTGATGTGCGCTAGCGCATAAGTAAAGGCAACTTATGCAGACACAGTAAGGTGCTGCTAAGTCACGTCTTTTGTTAGGACATTTGCTATAAAAAAGCTCTTATTATCGACACCTTACTGCCTTTATATGGCCTTAGGTGTCCTGCGGGCCTCTGTGTATGTCGGCTTATTCTTATGCTTTTGCTAATACGCTAATGAAAACCAGCCTTTAAGGCTCAGTCAACATGGAAATTTTAAATTTTTTCCTCTTCTCTTTGGTCATAACCACGTCATGTGTAGCCAAGTAAATAAACACAACAAAGAAGCACTTCACGTAATGCTCTTTATTTGTTTGTTCGGTATCGTTATTTTTGCAATGTAAAAAAAAACTGAACGTGGTATTATTTGCACTCTTAGCATTGAAATGGGAAAATTATATTCGCGAGCCAAAGGCGCCGCCGTTAGAATTCCTCTCAGCCCGTTTCCCAGAAAATCGATTTTGGGCTGTTTGACGTATAAGAAGCTATGAAACATAGAAAGGGATAGCAGTGGCAGATCCGGACCTTGAGCTAGGAGGGGGGGTTGCTTGCCCTGTCGGCTTTCTTCCTTCTACGATTTTTTTTGCCCCCCCCCCCCTCCCTTACCCAAAATAAGGGGGCTCGGGCCCCCAGGGCCCCTCCCCTAGATCCGCTTCTGGATAGTGCCCAACAGCCTAACACATGACTGTACTGGACTTATACCTGGAACATAGACCATGGGTTCTGGTCTTTGGCTCTTTGACTACGTCTTGGACAATCAGTTTCTATAGTTTACCTTAATCGAATTAATCCTGAGTTCGGTATAGATAAGCAACGGAACAACGTTTAATTACCATTTCCTGAATTTCGTCCTTAAGCTCCCTGTACAGCAGACTAACAGGGTTTGCTAGATGACTGCTCCAAATTTTCTCCTTGAACTTGACCTTGTAATTTATCACTTCAGCTAGGGAAAAGAAACCAATCTATAACTAGTCTAGAGGCTCCTCTAGCGCAGGAATATAAAGAAAGTCATTCAGCGGTAAGAAAGGTCAAATTATTATCAGCAGTTAAATATTGACAAAACAAATAAATAAATACGGTCGGGTCGCCACAGTGGTCGCGTGGGGCAACTACCTTTTCCAGGAAAATAGACAGCTCTAGTCACGACTTGCACGACTTCTACCTGTGCTTTCTTTTGCATCAGTATACCTCAATTGACCCTTCTCACGTTAGCGCATTTTTGTGCGAAGGCTTTGAAAATAACCCGAAATAAAGTATAGAAAGAAGGTTTTTTAACACATGTTTTTCTTACTGTCTCTTTCACATAGGCTAAGAGCATTCATGCAGCTTAAACCTTGGCCTTCATATAAAATCATATTCAACTTCATCGACGAAATGCATACCTGGACAGCTGTCCAAATTACAGGGCTCATATTCAGTTATCGGACCTTCGCAGTTTTTCCCTCCAAAAGCTGGTTCAGGATTATCACACTGTCGCTTTCTTGTCTTGTTTCCACCGTTACACGGCTTGTTACAGTTAGGCCATAGAGACCAGCTACTCCAGTTGCCGTGAACTGAAAAAAAGGAGGGAGGTAGAAATTGCAAACATAAATAATACAGATAAGATTGCGAACAGTTGACGCCGTAATATCATAGAAATCAATGCTCTAACTGTGACAATACATATCTTTCTTGAATGCGTAAAACAAAATCGAAGAACAGGGGGACGAATTAGGGAGGTCACGCTTCCCTCATTAACCGTATTTTGGCCCTTAGTATCATCAGTACAAGCCAACTTTATATTTAGCTATAGTAAGACTTCTCAGTGCATTTTCCGCTCCACTTGTGCATTTTATGTTCTACAGTTATCCTCAATCCTGAGCTGGCGTGCAGCAAAGATAATAAAGATACTCTATGTCTTCTATACCTGGACTGATGCTCGACCCATTCATCACAAGCGTCACGTGTGACACTGAAGAAGGTTTTGTTGCTTGTGAATATGGATAATTGGATTGATTTTGTTGCTGTTGTGGTTGTGATGGACTAGAGAATTTCAGTTCTTCTTTTGATGTCGTTGGTGATGGTTGCAGAGTCGCTAGTGGCGCAAAGGGGTATGAGCCAGATGGTTGATAAGATGGTTGAGGTGGCACTGGAGTGTGTGAAGACGTCCCCACTGATTGCTGTTGTTGTGGATGCGTCGTTTGCAATGTTTTCAAATACGGTAATGAAATTTGTTGTGTTGCGCTTTGTATCTGTGTTGACAATTCCATAAACTGCTGCTGCTGCGCCTGTGTTGTTGTCACTACCGAATGCTGTTGAAATAATTGCGACGAATATTCCACAGATGTTTGTGAAGATTTCTCTTGAGATGCTGGTGCTTGTAGCTTACTTGAACTTGTTATGCTACAGTTATCACCAGTGTACCCTGAAGCACAACTGCAGGTAACACCTCCAGAGCTACTGCTGCACGTTCCACCATTCTGACAAGGATTAGGCGTGCATGAATCTAAAGGATCTAAAACATACATCAATAATGTAGGTTTACAAAGGTTTCGTACATGTTACAATATTGACTCAACATTGGAATTACGCATGATCACCTAATTCCTAGTATACTTCACTTTTTTTCGTTTCTATTTGTTTGGTTCGAGAAATAAATAGACCTATGTTATTTTTGACGTCACAGTCAGACTAGTACTAACCAACGCGGTTTCGGACCCAACCAAAAGTGAAATTTCACGTTTTCAGATGGCTAAAACGCGGTGAAAAAACAACGATATCCATTTTTTTTCAATTTCCAATATACGATCTCCGGAAGATTCCACCGTATCTGTCATGTACACTTTAAGTTTCAATTGAGTTAGAGCGCTTAAGGACGTTCGCGCGAAAATTTTCCAGTCGATAGACCATAGGTGTATAAATGAGTACCGGCGAACTTAATGCTGGGGGTAACCCTGCGATGAACTAGCATCCCATCCAGGGGGGAGTAGAAATACTCGTAGTCGCTTCAGGCTACGGAAACCGGCATAAGCTCCGGCCTGATGGGACATTTGGCTCGAATGCAGACTTCTACCTACCAAGAGATTATGGTCCTGATCATATTCTCTTGTATAATTGCCACTCAGCAGAAGAAAGAGTTTCGGACCACGTAAAGAAATCTATGATACATACCCTGGCCGTTAGTGCAGTAAGCCCATGTAGCTGCTATGCATTGTCCTAAGGTGCCGAGCTTGTACAAGTAGAATGCACCACAGTTGATTACTTTAATATTCATGTTATTATTACAGGCGTTTTTCGGCGATTTAGATGCGCAAACCTTTTGAGTCACCTCACCGTCACCATAAGCAGGATGATCATCTACAAGGTACAATCGCGTTTCTGTACCACATGAGTCTCGAGGAGGAGATGTTTTGGACGCTAAGGCGTTTCCTGCATCTCCAGATACTCTGTACCAAATGTCCCAGTTTGTTATGTCAACATCATCGCAGTTGTTCATGTGACCAATGAAGCTCACCGAGCGATCACCATCGGTCAGATTTTGATAAGAGTAATCTGCACAAGGATTTGCTGGAAGTAACGAATGAAAGACGAAAATAATTATTGTTTACTCACATAGAGGACCATTTCATCCAGTATTGGTTATCGTACATTTGGCTTATCATGAAACAAATATTGCATCTCAACGCAACGTAGAATCTCAAGTGAAGGGAGGTTAGGAAGTTGCCTATATATGGCATGGCTGAGGAGTTGACCTGGAAAAACTAATAGAAGAAAATCTACCTAGTGCAAGGATAGCGGACTTAAACCTGTGACCTTCACCAACAGCCCAGCTTCGTTAAGATTCGAAGATCGAAAATAAAAACAGTTTTATCAAACGCCGCTCTTCCTTTATTTTGGCCGGAACGTGGAGTATGTACAGTGGAATTTAGTCTTGGGCAGAAAAAACCGAACTAGCTACATTTACAGGCGTCATAAATAGCCTGTAGGTCCAAAGACCGCCACCAGAATACCGAATTATCTTAAACGTTATGAAACATTGTGAAACTACCTGTAGAGTGTAGTTACTGGCATATACGTACCATCATTTTTACATGGATTGAACAAACATGAATCGATAGAAAAATTCAGTGCTAAGAAGAAAGAATAATGCAATTTATATCTGAAAAGGAGATTAAAGATTTACACTACAGGGGATATTTGAAAATTCCGTCTTAAATTTCAACGAGCCTCGAGGCGAGTGTAATTTGAAATAATTTTCAAATTTCATGAGTAGGGTAAGTCCTTAATTACACTCGTATTCTTGCACTTACGCAATCTGTTAGAGATACCTCTAATTTTAGCTTCAAGTGCATGCTTTATAACTCAAAAACGAGCCCTGTGACCTCCAATTTTGATTATCGAATAGTGATCAGCACGATAAGATGCAACTTTTGGATAAGTTTATAAAAACAATTGAAAATTTAAGGTGGCTCTGAACCGCCTCCACAGAATATCTCCTTTTACCTGCCAAAAGCTGTACTTCTGAATTTCAACCTATATTGCTCTCGTATTGTGCTGCGAGCTGCTTTTACTTTTTTTCTGTGATAAATGCATGTCTCATACATTTTCAGTCTCCTACCTAGCTGGCTGTTCGTGCTACAGTCATCACCGGTGTGTCCTGAAGCACAACTGCACGTAAAACCTCCAGAGCTACTGCTGCAGGTTGCACCATTCTGGCAAGGATTGGGCGTGCATGGATCTAAAGGATATAATATCATGTTTCGTAAATGTTACATTTTTGACCCAACATTGGAATTACGCATGACTGCCTAATTCCTAGATTTTGGCAAGAGGAATCTTTCGTTTTTATTTGTTAGATTCGAGAAAAATAGACCAACGTTCTTTTTGACGTCACAGTCAGACTAGCCTCAGGTACTAACCCACGCGGTTAAAACAAAAAAGTCATCGGTATCTTCCAATTCCGAATTCAAATGCTTTTACGATTAACTAAATCGATCATAATCTGAACTGTTGCAACTGTTACAATGCCATCGACTTTCTACCCAAACAATTGAACAGTCAGCTGTACCATTTGTGCTACAGTCATCCCCAGTGTACCCTGAAGCACAGCTACAAGTAAAACCATCAGAGTTGCCACTGCAGATCCCATCGTTTTGACAAGGATTGGGCGAGCAGGGATCTAAAGATGTTTCAATAAAAAAAAAATTTAGAAGGATAGCTTTCAATTCCGACTTCAAAATGCTCACACGATTAAATAGGTTAACTCAGGTTAGGTCGATCGCTCTCTGAACTTTTCATTGCACTCCTAACGACTCAGAAACGAAACACAAAAAAAGTGTACTATACCGTTTGTTCCACAGTCATCACCAGTGTATCCTGGAGCACAACTGCAGATAAACCCTTCAGCGTTACTGCTGCAGGTTCCACCATTTTGACAAGGATTGGACGAACATGGATCTCCCGCGGGATTTACGCAGCTATATTGACGGCCATTTCCCTTTAGAGCACACTGTTCACCATGCGGGCAGTTAACACCTTCACAAGTAACGCTCTCTGGAAAAGCGACAGAAGACAGCAAAGTCGTCAATCAATCGTTTATTTCAATCTTAACAAGGTTCGAACAAAACTACCTTAAGAATGAATAAGTGTATGTAACTGTTCTCCTGTGGAGGCGCGGTTGCCTCGTGGTTAGTGCCCTCGCCTTCAGATCGAGCGGTCCTGGTTTAAGGCCTGGCCGGGGACATTGTGTTGTGTTCTCGGGTAAGACACTTTACTCTCATAGTGCCTCTCTCCACCCAGGTGTATAAATGGACAACAGCGAATTTAATGCTGGGGTAACCCTGCAATGAACTTGCATGCCATCCAGGGGAGAATAGAAATACTCCTAGTCGCTTCATGCTACAGAAACCGGGATAAACTCCAGCCTGATGGGCCACTTGGCTCGTATGTAGACTTTACCCTAACTGCTCTCTCGCTCACCTTCACCATTGGTGCAGTAACGCCATGGATTGCCCGAACATTGCCCAAAGTTATGGAGCTTGTACAAGTAAAAGGCACCGCAGTTTATAACCTGCATATTCATGTTGTATTTACATGCTGCATTTCCTTCAGCTGCGCACACTCTTAGAGTCACCTCGCCGTCACCCAAGAATGGATGGTCATCCTTGAGGTACAAACGGACCATTGTGCCACAGCTGCCTTGGGAAGGTTCGTTCTTGGAAGCGAGAGCATTTCCTGCGTTTCCGGACACTTTGTACCAATAATGCCATTCATCCTTAAGGTCTTCGCCGTCGCACTTGTCTGTTGCGTCTTGGTAAGTCTCAGAGCGGTCACCATTGTTCAGATCCTTGTAATCGTCAATTTCGCAAGGATTGCCTGTAAACGGTGGAAAGAATTAGAGATAGAAAAGCCTGCGGAATTCATCTTACTACCATGGTGTTCACTCCTGTGCAATTCGATCCAAGAACATATGATTCTAGTGACAGGGCTCTCAGAAATAAATGATTTAATTTAACACCGACCAACGATGTGGCCTGTCCAGTATTAGAGGGTCTGATCTAAAGTCACCCTTCCCAGCAAATAAATTAAATTCGTGTACTTTATGAAGTTAAAGCCTTGCACATCTAATTAAGACTCCCAAAGCTGGAAGAATCATGAAACAGCATGATGCGATAGTAAGCAGCATGGGGCAATGTAAACATAGTAAACCAGTAAATATAGAAGATGGCCATATTGCCTGAAAAAACGCAATTTTGGGAGTACAGGTACAAACAAGACTGTGTCATCGTGGTGAGAAGAAACTTCTCAAACTCATTTATGATTCATCAAGTTAAAACAAAGAAAATCATGATCGTGATAGTGATGGTGTTTCGATATCTCAGTAACCTCAATTAGCATACCTAAATAATTTTACGATTTTATTTCTTTTTTTTCTCCTAAGGTTTGGTCTCGATTGAGAGGATATATCAAGCCCCTCATTACGTGATCTTCATCACTAGATGTTCAATAACTGGGAACTCTCGTCAAGTGTACACGTTTAAATTGTTCTAGAAAGCTCTTTATTTCTCTTGGGTAACAGTGAACTTCATCTTTAATCTTTATTGCCACCTATCATTGTTATCTTTTTATGTCGTTCGTTTATGAACGTTACGGAGCATAGTGTTTCAAAAATGTAAACAAAAACAGTCTGATTAAAAACGTAAGAATTGATCACGTTTTGAAGTAACATCAGATATTAAAGAGTAATACTATGTTTATGATATGTTTTCGAAATCGATAGGGAATGATTGTGTATCAAACAAGTTCTTCCATTTTTATAGTCTTTTGACCTGTTTTCTCCAGGTTCCATCTTAAGGTATTATTTGCGGTTGTTTCTCTCCTTCCTTCTTTCTCTTATCTACTTTTTTCTATTTTTCTTCACGAACTTGGCTATTTGAAATAATAATACGTGCAGTGAAAGTGAAGAATGATATATGAATTATTTCATATAAACTTCACAACAATACGTGCAGTGTTGCAATTAAAATCATACGACTTAGTATGTCTTATTTCACCCAATGCAAGGTGTAACTAGAGCTTTTCGAAGCAAGAGAGACCGTGGCAATAACAATATCTTCAGTGGATGATCTATAGTGATCCAGACTCTCATAAGTGAACGTTAACCCAATTGCCGGTCTCGCTATATCATTTTCTCTTCTGGATTTTTAACTAACGTCTTACTGAATCACAGAATCCCTTTAGACTACTTGATTACAGGGTATTTAAATAGTTTTCTCATCCAACAATAAATCGAAAAGGAATCAAGTGTAGTTACCTTTGACGCTTACAACATTGGAAGCAAAACACAGACATGCTGCAAATAATTTTAACTGCAATCAAGAAAGAATATACTCTGAGTTTCTGAAAAAGTAAAAGAAAATTGAAGTGAATTTCACGACATTACCTGCCTGGCGTTCATGTTGCATACCATTTGTAGCACTGTTTGGAGGCTAGGTAACAAAAATTACACCAACAGAGTACCCCGCTGTGTTTATTTCAAACTGAATATGAGTTGTAGTTTGGTTGGAATTTAAAAAAATTAGTTGCTTATGTTACAAGTAATATTAATTTAGGTTCTTACAGACAGCAAGCCAAGAACTGCGGATTAAAATAGAAGTCTATAACTTAGTCGGTGAATGTCAACTAAAAAGGTCTAAAGGTTTAATATTTTATGAGTTCAATTTTCTGCTTTGCCACTAACGTAATGAACAGAGTTGATATAATACACGACATTCGTTCGTGTTAATAATTGATCGTTTAAAGAAAATATCTTCACAACCTTTTCTCGCTAGGCAGAATCAGTGCTAGCAACATTTTTCTTTCAGCGCTATCTTTTAGTATAGGTTTAGTACAGATTAAGGGCGAGCGTTTGGGTGCGCAACAAAATATTGAACAGCAACCTGCTATGAACTAGCATCTAATTAGTTTCTATATCCTAGAAATGCCGCACCAACGAGCTATTTAATTGTACGTCTCTAATCTCTCTACGGGATTTGCAACAGAACCTAAACTTTACCTTTCAATTATCTTATGAGGTAGGTCTCCCTCTGTGTGATTCATGTCATGAATTTAGCTGACATTACGTACAGCTGATCCCCAATAGGTTAATAACTGACCATGCTGGATGTTTCGCGACATTTGGCACGTTGTCAAATTCACTTGTAAAAAAAAACTGGGAGCTGGGATATGTATCATCTCCATAGTTTTCTTTAACAGTCAACGACAAATGGTTTTGCGAAACTGATCTTATTTGCAGAGTTCCTGTGTTTCCAGAACGTTCCTTTATGTTAACTAACAGGCACCAACAGGGACAAAGATGAAAATTAATTCAATGATCATGAATTGAAAATGCAGGCAGCGAATTGGCCTTTGCAAAATTCTCTGTTTGTGAGATGTGAACTTAAATTTTTTTTTTCTCACACACGCACAATGATAACCAACACAGGCAAACAAAAAAATTTCCGAACGTTTCCGAATTTTTAGGACGATTTCCGAAACTTATCGAAGACTTCTGGGAAAGACCCGACTTAACTGGTGGACAACTTTTGGCACAGTTAACTTACATGAATGTATTTCAAACTCGTCAGCAAACGAGATATTATCGATATGTTCACGAAAGATACTGTAACTTTTACTGTGTAAAGATATGAAGACAAAAATGTGATAATCATTGTTAAATATATAGACACGAGTGTTTCACTGAAAAATACACCACTCGTAAATTAAAATTCATGGGAAATCACATCCGGGACTCGAATGGTATATTTTCCAAATCCTTACTAGTGAAGATATCGATGACTTCACTGATATCATGTATCTACGGATCTTCCTCGAAATTTTTGGGCAATCTTTCGGAAAATGTTCGGAAACGGTCGTGTAGCCTTCGGACAATTCTTGGAGAATCATCGGAAATCTTCGAAAAGTGGTCGGAAATCTTCGAGAAATCGTCAAAAACGTCGTTATAAGTTCAGCCACTCTCAAAGATCTAAAAATAATATACAAAGCTAGTTGTTGGGACTGTGATTTCTTCTACGTCGGTAAAACCAAACGACGATTGTATGAGAGAAAGACCGAGGATTTAAAGCTCTACCGGTCACAACATCATATGGGACTGTTTTGAAATCCTCGCTATTGGAAAGTCCAACCTGCATTGTAGAATTAAAGAAACGCTATTGATCGTTGGCTGTGAGAAGCTGTTTCTTTATTAATTTCTACCGCAAGTATCATTTTGCTATTACTTTTTACTTGTCACCAGTGCCTCGCTTAATTTTCAAATTTATAATATTTTGTTTTAGTTATAATCGTCATTTCTGAAGATGTATGTTGTAACATACGAAACGTCAAGTTAATACAGTTAAGTTTCTTAGACCATGCGTTGTCTATTTGCAATGTTTGTAACTGCTGTTTGTTTCCTTTTCCTTCTGAAATTGAAATTGCTTGAAGGTATGTGGAATATCCCTTCTTCTTCTATTATCCTCTATGCACTATCAAAAATGTCTTGTATAGCTGTTTGTAATATTGCAGCTAGCCTCACAGCATCGCCAGATGCAACACTACAAACATAGCTCTCCACACAAGCGACAGATAGATACAGGATATTTTTAAATGATCATAATATTGAGTGAAAAACGTGATCCAGCCAAACAAAAACAAAAGGTTTCGACGAAATATAAGATTATACAATGTTTTCTTGACAAAGTTCGTCATTTTAAGTCTGGTGTACGTTAAAATGTTGGTGCCGTTGGTGGTGGTGGTTTTGTCAAAACACTGGCCAATGCTTCTGTCTTGCTCATTAATGCAATAACTGGAGGGTTTCTATAAACAAAATCTCGATACATGTTTTAGAACCCAGTCAAGGTCATTAGCAGTAATTTATAATTACCCCATTTAGACTCAAGTTCACGCTCGAAATAATTACTCCCATTACTTATTAGTGAATTTCTTCTAACGCAAATTACGAGAATGTAAACAATAGGCTCATTAATACAATATATTCCCTTAGTGATTTTTCCATTCTCCTGGCTTGTCTTTTTGACATTATGTTAGAATGACAAATGAGATGCTAATCATTTGAAAGAAAAACTGCAGACTGAAAAGTACACAATATATTAAGTAAGGAAACATTTACAAGTTTAAGCTAATGGTTGATATATTGGCATTTAAAACTCAATATTGCATTCCAATTAATTCTTGCCAGAATATCCGGCTTCTTTCAATCCTGCAACGAACAGCGACGGAATTGGGTTACTGGCGTTAAACACTTTGCTAGCAGGTTAGTAAAATCCAAATTAAATTCTTCATCAGACAAGTCAGTATCTAGCGACCAAAAACCGTTCAGGCTGTTTAGATATATTCGCCTTTGTTTGAAGCTCGAAATGTTGAAGTATTTAGAGAAATAGCTCAACTCTTCGTCACTCTAACAGGAATGTTTCTAAATGTGAAAGTTAGAAATGAGTTTCGGATGACATTAGGTAGACAGTTCTAATTTTGGCATGTTAAGATGGAACAAAGTCTGATTCCATTTCGAGATCAGTACAAAAGCTAAACACAGCTGATCGGCGCAGCGTTGCATTGAAATCAAGAGAGCGAGAAATTCAAGGTAAAGGTATTATTTCTATGTGAATGATCTTCACTAATATCACTCGCTCGAGAGATGTTATTATGCAATCTAGAAAGCTCAGTTTGTTATTGAGCAAAATGGATTATGGGTATGGTTGCATACAATTTCTGTCGAGTTTTTAAAAGACAAACTGCTAGAAACAAAATCACGGTAGGTTTCGCGGATGACTTGTGTAATTAAGACACTTCTTGTGACGCTGACACACAACTAATGAATGCACACAACTGGATATTATGACAAAATAAACTTCTCGTAGTAAATTGAAATGCAATTATACCTTTCTCGTTTGATCCATAATGTATTCACCACGAGGTAAACACTTAAACTGGTACGAAGCGAAAACTTTGCAAAATTATAGATGACAAATATGAGGTTAGCTGTAATAACGGGTTCGTTTTACTCGCGAAAATAAACCGATGTTATTCGTAATAAATTGCATTGCAATTATACCTTTCTCTTTTGACCCATAATGTATTCGCTACGAAGCTAAAACTTTAATTGCTAAGAAGCGAACATTTTGCAAAATTATAAATGAGACTCAATATCTATAATGAATGGAAATTGTCATAGTTAAGTAGTACTGGCGAAACAACAGCTTTGTCAAGAAGACTTTTGCGTTAGTAATTACAATTTTCTGTAAATTAATCTGGACTTCAAGATCCTCTACTAGTCGATCTCTTGGACTTTGCACATGTTACAGCAGAAGTTATATTTATTACCTTAGAAAGTAAGTTTTGCTGAGAAAATATACTTTCTAATCTCACGCGGACTTTGTTTACTTTCTCTTTTCTGCACATGCGCAAAAGTAATTTACAGTGATTACTGCGCCTTTCAATAACATGCGGACTCCAAAATTCAAAGCTCAACCGACAAATGCGTTTTTCGCTACCGTCAGTAAAATGTTCGGCGGCTCCTGATTATGTTGTCTGAGCTGTGCTCGACGATTTGATTTGACTATCGCGCGCTCGGCACTAATCGGAAGCTGGGAGGAGCCGCCGAACATTTGATTGACGGTAGCGAAAAACGCATTTGTCGGTTGAGCTTTGAATTTTAGAGTCTGCATGTTTTCGAAAGACGCGGTAATACAGCGTGTGAAGATAACCGTGACAACTGAACAATTTCTAAGTACACCAAAGTTACCTGTCGTGAGCTTGAAACATTGCAAAGAAAAAAAAACAGTCAGACAAAAATTAAACAGGAGAAGATGATTACTTTGTTTTCATTAAACGCTAGTAGTTAGCCATTTTGAATTTTGAGGGACAAACTTGAAGACCTCAGGCCGTGCGTTTGCAATGTAGGCAACACTTGCATTTTTATTTTAAACAATTGACAAAAGGCTATAGTCGCTAGCGCTTTTACGGCCATTTGCAATTACAAACACAAATTACAGGATGTGTCTACCAAGTGGTCTAGTGATGCCTGACAGAACTGACAACTTTATTACTAAAGTAATTATTGAGAGAAGCAGCCCGGATTCCCCGCACAAAGGGGTGCAATGGTTCTTACTTGCGCTGACTTGAAAACGACAATATTATAGTAGCTTATAAACTGTTACATTATCAATGAAATGACATAAGTTTAAAGGGGCAATAGCAAAGGTGAGCATGTTTACCTTCCTCAGATTTATCAACACTCATTCATTTAATTTCATGATCAAATTTCACCATAACACAAATAACAGCACAGGACATCATAGTAATTTAGTTCACTTTCGGTTAGCATTAACCGAGATATTCAAAAAGCTTCGTCCTATATATATCTCAGTTTTCAGTAATTTTGTTTCAACAATAATCATAAATTTGCATTTGGTGCTTTTCTATTTGAGAGGGACGTTTCGGTTCTTTCTTGATCTTTACTAATGTGTGATCCTGTATTGCTAATTCTGCGCCAAAAAAAATATATAAATCGTGTCGTTTCGTAGTTTTATGGGTCCTTTATGCCTTCATAATCGAATGTAACTTGAAAGCAAAATTGTATATCTATCCTTTTAAAGGAACACCTTACCATGTACTTGAATTGTAGTTCGTTGCATTGTCTTTTGAGGAATCGATTTACTGTTTCAGTTTTCGTTTTGATTTTACAAGCCGTCCTTCTGAACGTCCTATTTTATTTGTCTGGCAGCGAAATATTTCATGTATTTCATGATGATTTCAGCGCATTTAGTTCATCACGGTCTTGTCTTTCTTGGATTTAACGGATACACTGCTGTGTTTGATTGTTTTAATTCTTTGTAAGGTTTGGTTTTGGTCCATTGAATTGCCAACGCAAATTAGCTTAATCCTACCAACGGTTCGCAAGTTTGCCTTTCATTCGGCTTAGGCCTGTCCACATGTGCTGAAATATAAATTTAAGCGGAACGCCTGGGTACCAGACTGATATTGAGCATGCGTCAATGTCTTGACATGACTTCACCGGCTACTCATGTACCAGTCTATGCTGTCCACAAGAGAATAATACGTAAACCGAGATAGCCCGGCTTTTACGAGGTTTCTTACTTTGGAGAGAGTTAACGACTATGCCATATACAAAAACGTTCATGCCCAATTTTGCCTGCATTTGTGAAAACACCAATTTTTGGTCCATTGATGTTTAAATGTGAGATGAAATGTTTTAAGGATTTGTGTGCTGGATGAAAGAGCTTTCGAAACAGCATTCTGTTTCGAGGCCCCATTAGGGTGAAGGGGGGCGGTCTGAGTATCCCGCATCCCGTTAACTTTCGGCCTAAATACCCCGTAACCGGTAATTCCGGTTGCAAAGATTAACGAATTTCTCTACTCGGTATCCCGTTTTATCTGATCGAAATGTCCCTTTTTACCCCAAATATTCTGTACCCCGCTAAATATTTGCCTAAATATCCCGTATTCCGAAAACCCGTAAGGGGGCCTTTATTTCCACAAAAGCGTACGTACATAAAAGATTACGTTTAGATATCAGTTTATCAAAATTGGCAAGCTTGATAAACTCAAAAAGCTCTTTACATTTTTCGGTGGATTTCTACACCAATGGTAAATTAGAAATCAAATAAATGATTGTGAAATTTTCAGGTAACTTTAACAGCGTCGATAGAGAAGCAAAGACATGAAACCTAAAGACAACACGGTGAGGGTAGAAAACTCTCGAATCGGACAATACGCCCAAGAACCCTCGCAGCATTCTCCAACACCTAGTCAAGCTAAACAAAGCTCTGTTGCCATTGAAAACCAAACACTCCGGGAAAAAGTGAGTTATTTACATTATTTAGAGCGGTTTTCATTTGATTGTTGAAAATTAATTGATTTGCACTTTCTGGGCTACATGATTGGTTTAAAGATGTCGCGCCACTTTTTCATCCAATCAGAAGTAAAACAAAACTAATCGTGACTCGTTCGCACACGTTTTCCCGCGCTTCGCGTCAGTTACATGTAATTACCTCGAATTTGGGATTGGCTAGAGTGATTACTTTGGTTTTACGACAAGCAATTGAAAGCCGCTCTGAAGTCATAACATCTACATCTTTGTTGATTCAGTCTCTTAGAGTAGGGCATGAAATTTTAATAAATAGCACTCTAAACTTTCTTGTCAAATGTTTTTATCCTTCTGTAGATTGCGTGACTCGAAATGCTGACAAATTTGTGTCTTTTTACGTTGTTTCTATTTTTCCAGATCTATCCTGACATGAAAGCAAGCGCTAGAAAACGTAAAACCCTAATTGAGTGGATTAGAAAGTACTTATTAGAAGGTAAATTTACGGGTCTTTGCATTTCCTACACCCAGCCAACCCAAGATCTTGAGATTACCATCCAACTCTTTTTTTCGGTTTTTGCAGATGAATTGGGATTAAATTGGCAGAATTATGCTTTATCTTTCAGGGCAGGCTTTGACAGCCACTCAAACCCAGGCCCTTGAAGCGCTTTGCGCCGATGCTCCATGGTACGAAAAGCTAATTGTGAAACACCGCCGTCTGGTGGGCGTGGCCATTCCTTTTACGTTCTTCCAAGTGATTTGGTGGAGCTGTGCGGTCAAGTACAACTTTTGGAGACTGTTTCCTGACAGATTTTTCATGTCCATAACAATGATATTTGGTTCCATGATTGCAGGTAAAAATAATGATTAATTTTACGAATGGAAAACATTGTATCCTGATCTTTATACTTATATGGACGATAGAAATAGTGTTATGTAATGTTCAAAACTCATGTGGAACTACAAGTAAAGCGAGTGCTTTCCCTGAAATGTTTTGAACAGTTTGTGGCGTGGTCTATAAATATCTGTACGGGGAAGAAAGTATTTCATACAGCTGCAGTTTATACCCGGGGGGGGGGACTTTCATATAAAAAGGACAGGGGGGCTTGTCGGAAATTTTGAAAAGAACCCCTATGAGGTACCGAGATCCTGTTTGTAGGCGTTGCTTGAATTTTTTTTTTTTTTTCACCCGTAGGAGCTGGCAATTTTAAAACAACATATTATTTGACACTTCCATAGTTTTTGATAGCGATAGAGAAGATTGCTTCGAATACCTTCTACTCATAAAGTTAATTGTCAACTATCTCCTGTCATATTTTTTTCAGCTCGATACCCTACAAGTTACCGCAAAAGCTCTCGCTGTTGACCTCTTGAGGCTGAGCACCCTATAAGGGGTATTAAAACTAAGTTTTCAATCCCTAACGGGTACGACAAGCACCCCCGTTCTTTTTATATGGGAATCCCCCCCCCCCCCCCCCCCCCCCCC